CTACTGCTGTATAGGCTGCTGCTACATTAGCTGTTCTCACTTGTATTTGTTGTTGTATGTGGGAGAGAAGAGTTAGGTCATCTGTGAAGTCCAAATCGTCTAGTTGATTCCGAGCTATCCATTGTATTCCGTGCTTCCCTTGAAATGTGGGAGTCTTCATTAACCAAATGATCACCAGAAGAAAGAGAGAGGATAAGAGTAAAAAGTCTTATGTGACACCGATCTTCACTCACATTGCATCTGTCAGCTGTCCTACATGCACAATTCGCAGTGTGGTCCATCGTATTTTTGTGTGATGTTGACGTTCTTTTCAGGTACATCATAGTATCAAAGAAGTTTCCATAATGTTCTCCTGTCCACTCTATCAAATGCTTTCTTATGGTCAACGAAGTTGATGTATAGTGACGAGTTCCATCCAATTGATTGTTCAACAATGATTCATCGTGTTGCAGTTCAGTCTGTACACGACTGATCCTTACGGGATTCAGTTTGTTGATCTCTAAATCGAGCGTCTACTGCGTCTTTCATCCGGTTCAGCAACACTCTATTGAAAGCTTTTCCTGGTACTGACAGAAAACTGATGCCTCTGTAGTTCTCACATTTGCTCAGATCTCCTTTTGTTGGCATCTTGATGTGGTGTCCTTCTTTCCAGTCTGTCGGCAATTGTTCTTCCACCCTAATCTTCCTGAATAGAACATGGAGCATATCTACAGTTACTTAAATGTCTGACTTGATTGCTTCAGCTTCCTATAGACATGCCGACTTCTTCGTTTGTTGGTAGGGTGACGTCTATAGGAAAGTCTGTATGTGCTGCTTCGATGTCAATTGGGTTCAATGGAGCTGATCTTTCCAAGAGTTCCTCGAAGTGTTCCACCTATCTGTTCCTCTGTTCTTGAATCTCAGTGATTGGCTTGTCTTCTTTGTTCTTGACCGGTCTCTTTGGTTTACTATATTTACCTGCCAGTTTCTTCGTTGTGTCATATAGTTGGTTCATATTTCCTTTTCTTGCAGCTTTTTCCACTGTCGTTGCTAATTCTCTTATGTATTTCTGCTTGTCGGCGTTAATGCTCTTCTTCACTTGCCTGTTTGCTTCTGCGTACTCTGCTTGCGCCTTAATTTTCTCTGTTCTTGTTCGGATGGATGTTGTTAATTAATGTCTTCTTGTTATTCCCTTCTTGAATCTTGTCCAGGGTTCCCATAGAGATCCATTCCCTATGATGATATTTCTTGTGGCTCAGAACCTCTTGACACGTTGAAGTTAATGCTTCTTTGGTTCTTATCCAGTTGTCCTCCATTGTAGTTTCTTGTTCTTTCGGTAGATCCTGTGAAGCTTGGAACCTGTTGTTGAGAGTTATCTGGAATTTGTTGAGTTTGTTGGGATGGAGATGCTGACCCTACTCCCAACCCTCCCCCTTTACACGTGCCTGGTAACGGCAGTAACTCTAGAAGGGCTACAAGCGGAGTTATATATATATATATATATGCAACTATGAAATACGTTGAATTTGATTTTAAAGATAAATACTTTTTCCTCACTACTTAGTTTGGATAATCACTTTTACAAAGTTGAATCTGCAGTCTATTCAACTTTAATTCATCATTCAATATACAAAAAAGTGAATTGTTAGTTACAACAATTATGTAATTTCAGATCGATTATAGGTTTCTGATTGATAAAAGTCAAAGTTTTCGAAAAAATAAATCCCCAGTTCTATTGTTAAAATGTCATTTTGTTTGATTGGAATTAATGAATTGAACAAGTCATCAAATACTACTTATGTAAATAGTAACTAATATCTGCTCATCACCACAAACGAAATCGATTCAAAAACCTCAATTAAGTATCAATACAGCAGATAGAAAAATTGGTATTCAGGGTTCACATCATAGATAAACGAAGTCAACCTATATTAAGATAACTGTTAGCGAAATGGATGAGAACTCATGTGAGGACAACCAGTTTATTAGTTAACACCAAATTACGGAATGTCTTGGTAAAATACGAAAATCATACATTAATTACTTCATTTGCACAATTTCCATCAATTGTCTCCTAAAATCTTCATCGTTCCTTCATTCCTGTTATTATTACAATTACTCTCTATTTACATCTTTATTCCCTTCAATTCAATCTTCTCAACCTTCTGCTGCCAGGCATTCCACACCTGATTGGTGTCACATAGTACTTAAATTTTCAGATACATGTAGCATATACCTAGTACAGTTATTACTTCTCAACAATTAGTCAATGATAAAGTGATTAACTCATTAAGGATAAATTGTATTCTCATTTAAATCAATGTTATGACAAAAATTTTCTTGTATTTACAGATTCCCACTAAACACGTCAATAATTAATAATAGCCACTCGCACAAATGAGTAATATTTTTAGAGACATATTGCTCCAATTTTTAGGTGAGAAGCAATAAGCTATGAAGCCAATGAAGTTGGAAGTGTATGTGAGATAGAGACAGACGGTTGCTCACCGAGAATATCTCTTGAAGATAATTGTATTATATTATAAACTAACTAAAGTTCCCAGATGTTTCTGAGTAAATTCTGACTTATTAACTCATTATTGTAATGTTAACTGATTGATATGAAAGTGTCTAATGTAAAGTCTTGAATGGCCAGTGGACACATTCACGTCAGTTTAGGTAGTTAATTAATAGTTTTAAGCTAAATTCATATTTATTTGTGATAACTTAACACATATATACACCGTTCTATTCGATTATTATAGAGTTAAATCAGTCAAATTTAATCGAAAGCAACAAAAAAATTTCCATTACTTTCCGATTTACTGACCTAAATAAAATATGTGTTCTATCAAAGTATGAAAAAATGTATTACGTAGTTAAAGGCAATCGGCAGAATACGGTAAACTTAACTTTTATGCTGATCGATAGTTGTTAGCATAATGAATCTGGAAAACTGGTGTAAATTGATTATTCATATCAGATATATTTTACAAATATTTCTACCATTTTTTTCTTAAAATCATAAATTCTCCAAAAAATGTTTATGCTGTAATTCACAGACCATTAAAGTAAACTGGTAGATATACTTTCTTCATGAATTAGGGTCAGCTATCGAAACCGTAAAAACTACTGTGTTGAATAACTGTTTGATCCTTGTATCAAATTCCTTAGGAAAGTGAATCCAAAACCATCTTTGGGAATAAATCTATGACATACAAGTCTCTGCAGAAAAAGTTGTGTATATAAAAAATCATTGTGACTGATATAAGATATTGATAATAACTAAAAATTGTCTTCAAGCAAATAATAAAATAACGAGTTTGTGATTTCAACTACAAATTAAATAATCTCTGTAAACTTCGTTACTGATCAATTTGAGTATAACTCATTCCTATCAATTGTTTATCTGGTATGATTCATTGAAAGAAAAAGAGGTTATACAGTGTTACATAGGATATTGACATTTTCTAGTAAGATTACTGAAGAGTTCTTTAAATTCGTGATGAATATGAATTTTCCTCTGAAATCTTACTCGGTAATAAGAAAAATTGCCTTATAACTATGTACAACTTTCTTAATTTTCTTATTCGATGGTGCAAAACTCCCATATAATAACACTTATGCATACACACAGAAGAACTAAAATTTCGAAATATTTAACCTAATACTTATCAAAAGCTTTCATAGTTGGAAATATGTATTTATCATTCTTGTAGATTTTTAATGATGAGGCTTATCTACTGTACTACCAGTATACAGTATTGAATATATATAATTATTGTTATTACTGTTATTGTTATGAAACCAAATTGGTCAAAGAATTACAAAATATTCTGTAATCGTATTTAATTTTCATTTCAAGTTGCAATCAACTGGAAAACCACATTGAAAACTAGAAACCTGATTCGTGATTCACCCGTCAAATAAAAAGGAACTTAGAATCCTATTTAAAGGTATTAATGAAACAGATGGATACATTTAAGATTGTGTATTTAACGTATAAATATACCAATTAAGTTAATATCGGTGAACTATCAGTAAAATATAGTTTTTCTTTACATTTAACAACATGTTTCAACAGATTATTGTATAATAAGCTATTTATCCGGTTGGATAATTTATTTTGACAGATATGATATGTCTATTTATTATGACAAAATGATTTCATCATTTATCAGAAATTCCGAGTGATGACCCGGGCTTTTGTCCTCATATTATATTCGTTTTATTAACACTTTATCATCATTTTCGACAGTATGATTATTCATTGCGTAGATCAAAAAATGTAAAGTTCAAATTATTTTATCTTTCGTAACTATATTTCCAATAAGCAGAACAATACCACGTGAATTTAAACTTCACCCCATTGCACAAGCAAATGGCCGTCAAGACTCAGTAGCTAAGTAGATAACGCGGTGGCGTTTGAACTGAACGGTAATAGGTTCGAGTTCCAGAGTGAACATCAACTCTAAGATGCAGTTACATCCAGCTGATGAATCACGAATAGGACGAAACGCGCGTCCTGGATTCCATTGCTAGTCACTATCCATCTTTGCTTATAAGTGGAATAATTTCTGAATTCACTTTATTAATGTTATCAGTGACTTTTGAAATTATATTTTTCGGCTACATCTCGTACAACTACTAACTAAATAAAATATAATGTCAATAAATTTTGGTCAGTCCTTTATTCTACAAAGCAGTCCAATTGTTTAAATCTTAATTTTAAATTATAATAGAAATACCCCTTTTTATCGTATAAAATATCAGGTCACATGTGCTATTTTGTAGGCCAGATGATTGGTTAAATATAATTTAGGCGGGTCAAGATAACTAAGAGAGATTTTCATTGGTTATCGCATTACAAAATTAACCAATAGATGATAAGAGAAAGAAAGATAAATATTCTATCAGTTAGATTGGTTGCTTCATCCACCCTTTTCTCTGTAAAATTCGCAGGGAGGTAATGCATGAAAGTAACGGTCTGAAAAATATATCGATAATATTAAATAACTGATCTGGATTTTAGGCATCTTCATTTAAGGATTTATTGAGTGAATAATTAAAAAGAAAACGTTGTGGGTAAATTCATTAGTTGAGTAAACCGATAAATATTTATGTACACTACATATTTAAACAAATTTCAATAAACTGTTTAATAAAGGAATGGAACTTCAGACAATTGGTCCAATTGCATTAGACTCATCAAATTGTACTGATCTACGTAGAGGACAGCGTGATTATCAACCAACAACAACGACACAAAAGGCTAATTTAAATATATGCAATTTCACTTCAACAGAATGCGAACTATATGATCCCTCAACAACACAACAAATAGAAACACGTCAAATGGAAATCAATAGAAACTATAATAATAACAATACTGTACTTGATAAAATTAAATATAACCTTCAAGCATCATCTACATTTTCAGCCCCCAATTCGTCCTCTCACAAATTACCATCGCCATTATTTCAGTGTACATCGAATACTACTAAGACATCAAGTATTACTCCTACGTCACCTTCTCCTCCTACTGCTAATAATAATGTACTGAATGCCCCGAAATCTTCACCTGTATTATTGACAAATAATCGACTTTCAGAATTAATATCAAATTGCTATGAACAGACTACAGCAAATCTATCTGTTGATTGTTCTAACAAACAAATAACCTTAACAAACACTGAAAACTCATCAAATACATCGAACTCTTTTGTTAATAATAAGATCAATAAATCTAATCAAAAAGATAATGAGACAATGTATTATGACCATATATCATTGAATAAATATTTAAATGAAAATGAAAACTCTGTGCAGTCTACATTTTTGAATCTCCCCATTACAACATTATCGCATTCAACGAATGTAACATGTTCACCATCCTTATCATCATCGTCATCAAGCATGATAGGATCATTTTCGACTATGAAAGAACCAATTAAAACCAACAATATCTCAACATTGAACAATCTACAACAATCAATAAGGAAAGTATCAAGTAGAACACCATCACCTTTGATGTTAACAGAACATGAATTAAATAACAATAATAATACTAATAATGAGCAATATTTATCTTCTGAAATAGAAGTTTCTAAATTGTCTAATTCTATTGAGAATAGAAATAAATATTCAAATATATTAAACAATGATATTAATTTTTATAATTATAACAATCAACCGTCATTAAATTCTCAATGTAAATCAGAATTAAACGTAAATTTATCGACAAATGATTCATTGTTAATAATTAAACCCTCTTCCTCATGCACCTCATCATCATTATTGTCATTAATATCTACTGCTATCCCATCAGTTACACCATCAATATCATCTACATCCTCACCAATGTATCAACTGAATTCAGTGACCAATACGAATGAGCCTACTTGTGACAGGCATGATTTATATCATAATAAATCAATACAGATTATGTCATTTACATGTACAACTATTACAGAGACAGTCAGTACAACTACTTGTTCTAACTTATCATCTGTTGATTTTCCAGTTTGTTCTACACTTTCAAATGGTACCTGTATTACTGCAGTAAATTCTATGCTACCTACATTATCAACATCTATAACCGATCATTCAAGTAATAATAATAATAACAATAATAATAATAATAATAATAATAATAATAATAATAGTTTATATGAAATGAATAAATTTAATTTATATCAATTACAAAATCCCTATTTGTTAACAAGCTTAGAAAATTCTAAATTCTCAATTCAATCTCATTTAGAACAATTTCCAATAAATCCAATAAATTTTATTACAACGTGTTCAACAAATGTTACTTTTTCTACAAACACTACTAATAGTGTCATAAATACTAATACAAACAGTAATAATAATGACAGTAATAGTAATAATAGTGATAATAGTGATGATGATGATGATGATAATGATGGTGGTCAACGAGGTGGTGATGGTGACGGTAATTCGGTAATCCAATTATATCAACAACAATCAACTAGTGCATTATCAAGATTCACTACTCCATTAACTCTAATGTGTGAGACTATGAATAATAAAACTAGTATAATGAATAATTTTCCTACTTCCCCTAGTGCTCCTACTTTTCCTCATCGTCACAATCACCACCAAAATCAACATCATCATCAACATGTTCACCATCCATCTCATCTTCAGCATCAGCATCATCATTCCCATCAACCACCACCGTTACAACAACAATATCAACTACACAGATATCATATGAACAGTCCATATTTGAATAATTTACCAATGAAATTATCAACATTCAACTTGATTTCATCGTCGCCATCATCGATAACAACAACACCATCGTCATCAGTGTTGTCATCATCAATATTGTTAACAGCGGATACACCGATAGAAACTATGACAACAACCACAAAAACAACAATAATTACTGATGGAACATTAACACCAACAAATTTGCAATCAACTTATTTTCCTTATTCATTTATCAGTAATCATGTGATTACTAATAGTAATAATAGTTCTATTAACAATACTAATAATAGTCTAATGGATCGAATTAATACAGTATGTGATGAATATCTACCCTCAGATTGTAGATCATCAGGTGGAAGTAAGCTATAAATAGATTTTTATGAATTATAGCAAATTATATAATTAATATTATTTTACTTAAAAAAGGTGTATATTTGAAGGTGTCAATATTAAGTATTCATTTAGTGAATAACTAATTAACTGGAATACTCATATTGGTTTATACTGTAGATTTTCTGATCTAGGATTATATAACAACTATAATGTAAATTATATGACACAAAATCAATCTCATTAATGTTGATTAATTCATTGTTAATCATCTTCTGAATAGTAACTATTAAGAAATATATAGTTTCTTTTATATAGTAGAAATCATGAGTCAATTGAAGCTAGACCACCATCGAAAACCTGGAAGTACTGGACGGCCGTTTCGTCCTATTGTGGGACTCCTCAGTAGTGCGCATCCACGACCTCGCCTCGCGAGATTCGAACCAAGGACCTACCAGTCACGCACCAGAGCACTTAACCGATAGACCACCGAGCCGGCATCCAACGGTGTTAATGTCTAACTTCAACTAATCCACAAATATAGTTTCGTTCATTAATTTTATTTACTCACTACAAATTGATAATTATATTTTCACTGCTTAATTCTTGGTTCATTTTATCTTGTTCTCTTCATATGTTCAGACCAAGTGTAATAAATTCAGTGAATCGTACACATCTACTCAAGTTCATATTGTTTACAACTATTGAATCAAATGATTGAATGCATTAAATAATAATTTTGTATTTTAGAAAATGGATTGGTTTGTTTCCTAATTGTTTAGTGTACATGTTAATGACTTTCAAAATATAGTTTAGTGAATGACTGACCAAGGTAAAATACATTTATCCAATATTTATAATAATAATAATAATAATAACGATATTATTAGTAATAGTCGTTCGTAATATTTGTCAACGATCTAAGTAGCAGAAATCGAATCATTTCTTAATGTGAATTTCATTATATAACATGGTAAAATGTCATTAATAGGAGGTCAGTAATGAATTAAATTACTCAACAAAATTCTAACGTAAATAACGATTTGAGTTAAAAACTTTCATCAGAAATAGTGATAAAAAGCAAATAGTTAGATATGAAATCCAAAAATATATTGACCACAATACAAATGTGTATTTGGATAGGAATGGATGATTTATACATTAAAAATTGATGATCAACCTTCTAATTGTTATCAGAAGGGACTTTTGTGGAGATTTCAGTAATTTTATAATTGAAATCATGATTCAATTGAAGCTAGACCACCAGGTCTGTTGTGAGATATCAGCTCACTAAAGACAATGATGAACGGTTGCTCAACTTCGTGGATCGATTGAAGTTAGACATTAACACCGTTGGATGTCGGTTCAGTGGTCTAGTGGTTAAGCGCTCGCGCGTTAAGCTGATAGGTCCTAAGTTCGAGTCTCGCGAGGCGGGATTGTGGATGTGCACTACTGAGGAGTCCCACGATGGGAGGAAACGGCCGTCCAGTGCCTTCAGGTTTTCCATGGTTTCAATCGACTCATGATTTCAACTATAAAAAGAGTTCTAATTGTTGCTCAAAAAGTTTCTATTTAAATGAAAGTTTTCTATTAAATATATTTTTATAAATGTAAGCGGAAATAAATTAGACCTAACTATGAGTGTTTCTGTTAAATTAGACGGAAAGTTATTTGATAATCTGATATCAATAGCAGAACTATTTAAAACCTGAAAGTATTTGATAAATAACTCGTTTATATTTAAATTGCTTCAACAATTTTCAACAGTAGTCTAACAAGAGACCGAACTCAGTAGTTTTTATGTTTCACAGCACGAATCTGCTAATCACTGACTGAATTGATATGAATTAGTTCATTTTTGTGAATATAGTCAGTTTGTTATGTGTAATGGCAGCTATTCAGTGTTGTAACTATTGAACGTTTCGTTGGTGAGATGATTAACTTTTGCAACAAGATTTAAACCAAATTTACCTTAAAGTTCGTTGTCACCTGATACACAACTGATTATTTGGACTTAGTTTTGTTTTGAGTGATTTGTATTCCATTTCGTGTAATTTCAAATTCAGACGAAACAACCATTCAATAAACTAGATCATTTTTTTAATTTTATCTAGCTAGTAAAAATTGTTTCAGAATTGGAATTTAAATGAATAATAGTTACTTTGAGAGGAGCAAAAACAAAGACTTCAGCAGAATAGCATAAATTCATTTCATCTCGTTTGTTTCTCACCAGTTGCTTACAACCTATGATAGTTAAAAATCATAATTATAAATTGGGTTTCAATTACTTACGTGAAAGAGTTTAGTTGGAAGTTATTTTGAAGACATATCAGTATAGTAAAGCAATGGTTTCAATAAATCTAATGGACTGAATAAAATATTGTAGATATATATAACAATAAATATGGCATTGGTCAGAACTTATCAAGCAACCAAACAATTATATTCTGTGTAAAACAACTTTTTCAGTAATTCAATCTAAAGTCGACAAGCACGGTAGCGCTAACTACGTTTATAAACTTACGTGTACCTGTCAAAACAGCTGCAGAACAGAAAAGATGACACACCACAGATTTTTTGGACATGTTGTAAAAGCTTTAGAATAAGAGAAAGAACGACTGTAAGCAGTGCAATTACTAAATATCTTTAAGATACAAGAGATTAGATGATTAATAAACAGCTAAGCTCCAGTCTTCTGAAGTTTGCTGAAGCTGTTGCTATCAGGCGTTGAAATCCTGATTTATGTGTTCACAAAGAGATAGTGATTAATCCTTTATTGACGTAGTGACAAATATTCCTTCATTGCAGCTGGAAAGTTTTTTTCAACCATTTCTTTCATTTAATTACATCATTACATCTTTTTAATTCACCTGCCTTCTAGATTAGTAATCTTATTTTATTAACTGAGTTTTACTCATTTTATTCCCACTTATAACCTATTCCATGCACTTTTTGTAAACGATGTAGCTAATTTAGTTTTTTTCCAAAGTTGGAATCATGAGTCAATTAAAGCTAGACCACCATCAAAAACCTGGAAGCACTGGACGGACGTTTCGTCCTATTGTGGGACTCCTAAGCAGTGCACATCCACGAACCCGCTCTCGTGAGATTCGAACCCAGGATCTACTAGTCTCGAGAGCGGGTTCGTGGATGCACACTGCTGAGGAGTCCCACAATAGGACGAAACGTCCGTCCAGTGCTTCCAGGTTTTTGATGGTGGTCTAGCTTCAATTGACTCATGATTTCAACTTTGAAAAATACTGAAATCTCCACAAATCCCCTTCTAAATTAGTTTTGTTCATGTGTACATCATCACGAAGTGGTCTCTTCATCGTATTTTGTTCCTTTAATAATTAAATTTAACTGTATACTATCGATCGGAAATAGTTCAATATATTAGCTTGTATGAAGCTGAAGAGAAGGGAAAAAATTATAATGATCAGAATGAGGGTTTGTGGAGACTATAGTGATTTTAATAGTTGAATTCACGAATTGATCTAAGGTAGACCACCATTGGAAACTTGGAAGCACTGGACAGTCGTTCCTTCTGAGTATGGGACTTCTTAGCCAGTCTAGAGGCTGTATTCAAGCGCGAGACCGAAGGTCTTGGTTTCGAATTCCAAGACGAAATAGCCATCTAGTGCTCTCAGATTTTTAATGGTGGTTTAGCTTAGATCGACTCAGGAATTCAATTATTAAAAAAATATAATGAATTTATCATATTCTGCAAATGATGCTCTGTTTAGATTTTTTGAAAGGAACCAATCGCACAAATGTTTTATTTTACGTGTATGAATTAGATTAATCTCAAATATTTGATAAAATAATCTTTCCACACATTGAAATAGAATGCCCACGAAGTTGTTCAACTTTCCAAACATTATCAACTATCAGAAAATACATGAATTGAATCGTGTTTAAGTATTTAAGAGTCATAGTTGTTCTGCTATATTGCATAAATTTAGACTGCCAGTCCGGCCGTACTATATATATATATATATATATATATATATATATATATATATATATATATATATATATTTGTGCAAACATCATTTGTACCGTTTTTTTCTTCTCACTTTTACCATTTCTTCAATATATAAACAAATCTGTGACAAAAATATCTTGGTTTCTACTTATCAATGGACATAAATGATTCACCTTTCAAATTAGAAGTGCGGTCAAGAAAGAAACGCAAACCGTATACACGTTACCAAACAATGGTTTTAGAAAATGAATTTATGGGTAATGCATATATTACAAGACAGAAACGTTGGGAAATCTCTTGTAAACTACATTTGACAGAAAGACAAGTGAGTATTGAATAGTGATGTTATTATTATTTATTATTATTTGATAAAATTCCGACGATAAAATTAACCATAAAAGTTGATGGATCTATTTTATTGATTTACATTTCATAATGAATCATGACATATCCAAGTTTGGATATACTGAAGGGAATCTCTTATTTCTTTTGGAACTGTTGATAGTTTGAAATTCCATTGATTATTCTATTCCTTGTAATCTAACGAATTTCGAGTCAATCAGTATTTTCTCCATATGATCATACCAAAGTCTTATTCTACTTAGTTTAAAGCTGATTAATTAATTAATTGCTCTATGAACTGATATCATCTCCGAAAACTACGCTGTTGAAAAATAGATTATTTTGAATTGATTCGAAAGTTTACTGAATGATAATGATTTGTGAGGAGCAAAGTAATAAGGTGAAGCCCAAAAATAAGTGAATATCAGAAGCTCTACTATGTCTATATATAAAGTGCGTATAAGAATGCACCTATCGTAGTGAATGAAAACTCAGGTGAGAAGAACCAATTTATTGGTTGGTGCACAATCACACAGTCGTTCAGTAAAATAATGAGAACCACACATCAAATAGTTCATTTACAAATCTTTGATTTGTCTCTTACAAGGTTAATTTTTCCTTCATTCCTGTTGCCGTCTTGATTGTGTTTAGTTCCCTTCTCTCTTCCCTTCATTTCAATCTTCTCAACCTTCTGCTTGCAGACATTTCACTTCCAACTGACGTTACGTAATACTTATATCTGCAAACATAAGTAGCATACATCACATTATGACTGAAAGTTACTTTTATCAGATAAGTACTTAGGAAGATCAGTCATTAAATAATACAATTAAAGCTTAGCTATCATGTTTAATTTTCGTTCATCATATCAGTAATACTAATCTGGAGGCCTGTTTATTATTTGATGTACTTAAAAACAGGAATCTCCGATGTTCTGAAAACATGCTTAGAATGTTTACTGAGGTTATAATAATATAAAAAGTTGATAGTTTCAAACTGGAGCTTAGAGAAGAAAAAGAAACTTTGACTTTATACAAATTAATGATCAGGAGAATTCAGCAAATAAAATTTTCTCTTCGATGAAATCATCTACTTAAGCTGTACATTTATATTTACGGTTTTATGGTAAATATATGTCTATAGAAGGATACGAATGGTTGCATCAATAAACGTTTCGAAAGTTTAAATATTAAATGGCGTTGCATAATAATCAGGGGGGGGGTAGAGAAGAATAGTAGGATAGAAATAATTTACGGATTATAATTATTCAATTGAAGACATTTTTAGTGAATTCCTAGATGATATAATTATCAAGTATGAGATAGGGTCATTTATTGAACATCGTTATTCTTTTCCCGTAACTGGTCAACTTGTAATAATTAGTAAGGATTCTAGAAGACCCTTTTATTAATAACTTTTCCTTTGCATTGTATTTCTATATCGTGAAAGTTTCTCTTATCTGACATAACATATATCTAACGCAAGAAGTTTAGTATTACTTAATCATACACATTAAAACCAGTTGGTCTTATTTGATTTTAGAGAAAAAAAAAACAAAATTTAACTGTAATAATTATTCTATAACTATTTAAACTACATTGAGATGATATGAGGAATGAATCATTGTGTAAAATTCTATTTAATGTGTATCCTACCATCATTTACTGCAATACAGAAATCAACTTTCTTGCGTGAAAAAAACTCTAATAAAGTATACTATCTTATCTGATATTACAATTTAATATTGTTTTAATGTTCACCAATGACAGATTATTTTTATTCTATTGTTTATTCACTGTTTATTTTAGTCTTGTGACTATGTAAACAGATACAATATAGACTTACTTATGTATGGATATATGCATATACACGTACGTATATTGGGCCCGAAACTATTATATAGGCATAGTCTGTGCAGATGTATATAGAAATGTTTGTTTGTATATGTATGAATTTGTCTAATACACATCAATAATTTTCATTTGCATGACACGTGTATTTCAGTACTGTTTTTTATGTATTTTATGCTGTTTTTATCTTGTGCTATAGTAACAAGTTTACAAATCATTACTACTTCATTTTATAAGGGTTCGCATATCCATATACATTGTAAATAGGCAGAAAAGCATTAATTTCATAATATACACATTGTTTGTCTGTCTTTACAATGGTAACTATTTATCAATAAGTGTATTTATTAGTTGGTCTTGATACTTAACTGGTTACAAAATAAGTACTTTTTTCTAACAAAAACTTCTTATCAATAATTAGTCTTGGTGAACAATTCTTCATTGTGTTTCTCATTGTGTTCTTCTGTCCTCCACTACCAAATTCGAAATTGTTATCAACAATAACAACCTTATCCAACCCCACCCCAACTAGTGTGATTACCAATACTACTACTACTACTACTACTACGACTGTTATTATATCCCTATCATTATCAACATAACAACCATTATCTTATTACTTCTTTCATTTGTGTTTATTCATTTGGAAAAAAAATAATCCAAAATATTTTTAAAGTCAGTTGATCAAAATTGATTTTCATCTGCTCGCAAACTATCCTAAAACATAACAAATTACCCAAGAATTACAATGGGATTTTCCTTAAAATCTCATAGATATTGAGTTAGAAAGAATAAAGGGTGTTGGGTAGAAGGGACAGGGAGGAAGAGATAAAGTTTTACGTTGTTTATAATATTAGTTTTGTTTCAATTACATTTTCAGAGAATGGTATTATTAATACTCTCATAGATACTCTTAAAATAAATTAATCACTATGATATCAATTCACTATAAATATAATAATAAGGTATATAGTGTAGTTCAACAGTTGTTCCTTATAAATTACTAGGGTAATATCAATTGACAAACAAATCATTTCAAGGGTGTAATTATTGTTTACATTTTCAATAAGATACATGAAATCCTCCATAGAATTAAATTGTTGTCTTTTCATATATAACGGTAGTATAATGAAATAAATGGTTTCTTATTGTTGAAAAGTAGTTTTTATGTAGAAAAAACCCTTTTTGGATTACAGAAAACAGTTTAGTCTTATCATATAACGACATTCATGATCGTATATTAGTGAAGCATAAAATGACAATTACAAAACCACTTTGAACTGAAAACTACTTATTTCGGTCAAATAAGTTATATCAAAGTTGGATGGTAACTAAGTGTAGAATCAACAATAGGCGTTTCATACAATGTTTACAATTCTAGTCACTATCTGACTTTGATAAAAACTTACGATAGAATAACTGTATTGAAGCAATCCGGACAGGATTCGCATATGGCAAGAAAAATTGATTTTACTTCAATTATTTATATCCATAAGTCTATGACTTAAACCATTACAGATTCACCATTCATTATTAGATTTAAGCTCCTTTTCTGATCTACTTTATTCATTGTCTTTCAAATTGTAAAGCTATTTTTAATCAGTTAACTGTCAGTTTGTTAGAAAGTTAATATCTCCTTTCACTTACATATACACAAACATGGATTTTTGACTAAACGATATGATATATTGTCGCTTATATTAATATACAAATTGGAATAGAAGAATCTCCAAAATTATGGATTCAAGAAATTTTAAAAACGATAGAGAATCTTAAAAAGCATTACGCTTTAGTCAATAACAATCAGTAGATATATCAACATAAATTCAGTCAATCAACAAATAAGGTGAAAGTCAGCCAATTACATATTCAGAGATCAACTTAACAAAACCATTAATGTGAATACAATCCCGGGTAAAAATAGAACATCCTGTGAAAATAAATCAGTCACAACTAAAATCATTACAGTGAACTGATTCTGATTGTTTTATGAGTTAAATAGTTCAAGCAAGTTAAATTATTAAATAGTTTTGAAAAAGCTCGAACCAGTTTGATCTAATAAGTGTTGACAATGTTGACGAGTGTAATAATGAGAGTTCCACCATAAACTTATAACTTCAAAAACAAAGAGCAATTAGAAGAAAGAAAAATATTTTGTCCTATCACACAAAGTTAGTTAAAGTTTTGTTTCTATACATACTGACTAATTCATAGAAAACAGTCATATTATTATCAAAAAGACTTGAGTTATATAACTGACGCCTTATTATGTATCAAATTGAAAATAAGTTTATTTTCTTTCATTAGTCCAATAACAAGGAATATCATTGAACATTCTTTTCGAATTGGATTCTCTTTTATCTGATTTCTTTTTTCTTTTGCGAAAAAAAATTCTGGTTTTTACTTCGTCACACAAAAAAAATTTAATATTTCCCTCAAGTTGACTAAAGCAAACATTCAAACATTTCGATAACAATCTTTCCAAAAATAAGTAGACGATTTTATATTCTCAAAATATACATTTTTTTTCGTCAATATTTTGTTACAACGTTATTGGAAGTATGTTCAATGCTTACTGTTGAATGGATTCATGTTCATGTATATAGATATATGTGTGTATTTCTCTGTGTGAGAGACAAATATAGACAGTCAAGATGAAACAAAATGAATGAATAGAAGGTAGTTAAGATCTTCAAGGGAATTTACTCATTGAATCATTCACAAAGATAATAATAACAATAATAATATTAGTATTAATAAGCATATCATGAATTAAGATAAACACTTAAAAAGTTAATTTTCAGAAGAATCCATTTTATTTAGTAACTGGTTGAAATATAAATAAACATTTTAAATACAAGGGTAGTCACTAATGCAATAAATAAAATATAAAATTAGTTTTTAGCGTTATGATATGGATCTTGAATTATTTATCAAGACATTCATTTTTTTGCATTGTCTTCATGTTATTTATATCATAGCAACGTGAAATAATCACACAAAGGTAGATAGATAGGAAGAAATCTATATAGGATGGAACTGTCCATTGTTTACATATTACAAAATGACTCAATATACAAAATGTTTACATAATCGAGTTATTTTTTTAATGGCTAAACACTTCATTATCTTT